CAGACTTTGTCTCACCTATTTTGGTCATGTTGTAAGAAGGGACCATTCCCTGGAGAAGGATGTCATGCTTGGTAGGGTGAGGGTCGACGAAAGAGGGGGAGGCCTTCAAGGAGTTGGATTGATACGGTGGCTGCGATGATGGGCTCAAGTATAGCAGGGATTGTGGGGCTGGCGCAGGACCGGGCAGTGTTTCGTTCTGCTGTGCATGGGGTCGCTATGAGTCAGAAATGGCTTGACGGCACTTAACAACAACAACAACAAAGAGTATATATTTTAGTTGGTTGTTATGTCTCTTAAATGTCTTTTAAACTATACATTTCTGCTCACTTCTCTTTTATTTTTATTATTGTTGGAGAAAATAGTCTTTTATCCTGGAGAATTGTTCAGTGTGGATTTTATTCATGGTATGCCCATGAAATCATTTAATATGCTCTTGTCCTCTGCGTTTCTGTAAGTTGATGGGTAAATTTAGGCTTAATTAGAATCATTTGGGCTTTTTTGGCAAGACTCTCAGTGTTATGTTTCATCAGTTAATGGTCTTCTGTTCTCGTTTTGTATGGTGGTAGCCACTCATGAACTTTTCATACATCCATTAATTCATTAGGAGTTGCAAAATGGTGATAATCTAATTCTGTCATTCTTTGGTGGTTATGTTTGTGTGTCAACTTGGCTGGGCCTGGTTGAGTAGCTGGGCAGCTGGTAGTAGTTATTCCCCATGATGAGACTGGCAGTCAACTCCATGGTGGGATCTACCACAAGCAGCTGAGTAGCTGCTTTGGGTATGTGGTCTGCTTCCCGTATATAAGAAGCAGCTTTGGGAATGGTATAATTAGCTTATGGCATGCTTGGACCCTGCGTGTAGCCGTGTCATTGTTCAGCAGCTTGCCATGCTCTGCCGACCTCAGGACTTACAATGGACTTAAATTAATGGCCTGCCATGTGGTCTGGTAATATCGGGACTGTGCCATTTTATTTGTCAACCTTGGGCTTCTCAGCCTCAGCAGCCAGTAGCTGTCTGAGTGAGGAAACGCCTCTAGCTTCAGTGGGCCCGGAACTGGAGGCAGAGCTGAAGCCCAAGGCTGAAGGGCTTCCACCCAGCCCCAGAGCCTGGCACTTTGAACTTGGACTTAAAGCCTCCAGATTGTAAGAATAAACTCCTATTGTTCAAGCCATCCCATTTGTGGAGTATTCCTGTCAGAGCGGCACTAGGTAACCAGAACACATTCTTTCTTCATCTTTTAGCTGGGATACTTTTTTAGAAAATTGTGATTTGGGTGAAAGTTTACAGAGAAAATGATTTTCCATTCAAAAATTCATACACATCTTATTTTGTGACATTCACTGCAATCCCTACAGTGTCACAACACTCTTCCTACTTCCTCCTTGTGTTTACCAATTCCTTTTTTCTTTCTTTCCTATCCCTTCCTGCCTTGTTAGCTTTATCCCTGGGCAAATTCCCTCCTTTTTTAAAATTGTGCTCTGGGTACAAATTTACAAAGCAAATTTGTTTTACATTCAACAGTTCTTGCACATTTGATTTCACAGCTAATTACCATCCCTAGCCATAAAAAATTTCTCCTCCCCTCTCCTCCCTGTGACTTCCCCTTCCCTGTGCCCTTCTTTTCTGTGCATTCCTATCTGTCCAGCTTTTCCTCTATGTGAATGCTGCTCCTCTGGTGTCTCATGGCTGATTGATTTAAGGGGTGCATCTCCCTAGAGTAGGTGGGTGCATCACCCTGGGTTAGGGGTTCTGCATGTAGATTTTTCTGCTGTTGGGATGAGAGCCAATCCATGGAAGTGAGCCCATTTCTAGGCCCGAAGGGTAAACTGGAGCCATATAGTCTTGGGCATTCTACTAGTCTCTATCTGACCAGTAATTCTGGTCATTTTTGTGTTTTTGAATTTTGTTCCACATTTTTCCTCCCACTCTATCCAGGATCTCCAGTTTTGATCCCTTTCCAAGCAGTTGGCATTTGTAGCCAGGCACTATCTAGTTCTTCTGGTCTCAGGTCCATCTTATCTTTGGATTAATTGTTTCCAGATAACTTTGATTTTCTTCACTCTTTTTTGCTCCAGACAAGAGGGAACTAATTGTTCATCTTAGCTGGCCGTTTGAAAGCTTTTAAGACCTAGTTGCTACTCACCAACGTAGGTTGTAGAACAAGATTTTTATGCACTGTGTTATGCCAGTCGAGCACGATGTCCCCCGAGACTATGGTCCCAAGCCTGCAGGCCTGGTAATTCTTTTTCCCAAGGTATTTATTTGGTTGTCTCTGAGAAATTACTCCAACCCTGTCTTCTGTTGCTTCTGTAAGGTGTGTGGATAATTTTGTAGCACAAGTGCATATGTAAGATTATCTTTAGCCAAGTCTGTCCTTGTCTAGGCTATATTCCTGTTTGCCTACATCCTGGGCAAATGCCCATTTGATCTTGTGTAGTTCCAATGAGTGCATACCTCCCTGCTATTAGTGTTCACATTATAGGTCTGTCTATCCTTTGGCTGAAAGTTGAGCCATGGGAGTAAGTTCAATTCCAGGCCTGAAGTATTTCTAAAGGCCAAAGTTTCAGGGGTTCCACTAGTCTCTATCAGGCCAGTAAGCCTGGTCTTTTTTATGATTTTGAGTTTTGTTCCACAATTTTCTCCCACTCTGTCTGGGACGTGCTATTGTGATCCCTTTTAGAGTGATCAGCAGTGGTAGCCAAGTACGATCTAGTTCTTCTGGTCTCAGGGTAATGGAGGCAGGGGTTCACGTGGTCCATTGGTCCTTGGAATTAATTATTTTGTTGAGTCTTTGATTTTCTTCACTCTTCTTTGCTCTGGATGGGGAGAGATTGATAGTTGGGTTTCTAAGGTGGTATCTCTATGGAAGTAGATTGCCCAATCTTCTTTTTAAGGAGTGACTGATGGGTTTGAACCACTAGCCTTCTGGTTAGCAATCAAATGCCTTAGGCCACCAGACCTGCCAGTTGCACCTTAGTTTAGTAGCTGGAATACTTCTATAAAAAGATGTTTCCTTTCATCAACTATATGGTTATCCTGAGAGATAGGTGGGAGCTCTGGTGGTGTAGTGCCTAAGGCATTTGACTGCTAACCAGAAGGCTGGCAGTTCAAATCCACCAGCCACTCCTTGGAAGGAAGGTTGGGCAGTCTACTTCCGTAGTGTTACTACCTCGCAAATCCAAGGAGGGGTCGCTATGAGTTGGATCTGACTCGACGACAGTGAGTTTGGCTTTTGGTTTTTAGAGACACAGGTAAAAAATAGTAAGACCTTTAGATATTGTGAAATTAGGGAGTCTTTTTTTCACAAAAGATAGATAAAGGCTTATCTATCTAGAACTAGTTTAGTTTTCCTTTGAGTAGAAAGGAAAGAGGCTAGGGACTACATAAACTCTTAAGTTACAGTTCCGTGGTGAGATGGCAAAAGCAATTTGAGTTAGGTGAAAACAAAAAATTTATTAGAAGAGTACCAGGGTACTCTTAGATGAAAAATTTATAGCCTGAGTAGGAAAGAAGCAGGTGAGACATAAACACTGCTGTGTACTCAAAAGCAGAGCCTGACAAAGCTAAAACACTTTCTAAATATTAACTTTTGACCCATTTCAGCTATCCTGACAGGCACATCATTATATCAAATGGTAAAGTGAGGCAAAAGATTAAGTTATTTGTCTATACCCAGAAATAAAACTCAGAAATAGGTAATCCCTTTCCATGCCTCTTTACTCTGTACTGTAGCAGCATAAACAGCTTGCAAGTGACTCTGGGTGTGAGTGTCGTAGGGAAAGTAAATTATTTAGTTACTGGTATTCTGTAGTAGCTAGAAATACAGTAGCTCATTCCAAACTAATAGTAGATAAATTAGATCAGAACTGTTTCTGAACTTGAAAAAAAAAAAACTGTTTTTTGGGTCTCACTCTTCTTGCTTAGAATGAAAGATTACATTTTCAAAGGACCATTCTATGTCAGAACAATTCTTACTAAGATATTAGAAAGCCAGTGTCCTGGGAATGACTAGATTCAGCTTTCCCAAATGCTAATTCCACTCGTTTGGGGAGTTGAGAATTAGAGAAGATGTTCCAGAAAAAATGAGCTATGATTTAAGTATGAATTGATGCCAAAAGTGAGGAAAAAGGAGTTATGTGGATGTATGTCAGAGGCCTTTTTTCCCCTAATAGGTGTGGAGTTTCCAGAAGAAACAAACAGATCTCCTCATCGCATTTTTTAAGCATAGAATTACAAAGTTAGAAGCAGATGTGCAGGAGGCCCAGCAAACAGTGGCCAGCCGGGACAAGTAAGTGACAAATCAAATCCCCAGATAACGTTTTTCTTTCAGAGAAAAACTGTAAGCCTTACCTCCTTATGCTTACAAAGCATGAAAATTAGTCCATGTGTGTTTGGGTTTGTCTTGGGAAAGTAAGGGAAAGAATTTTTGGTTCCCTCAACCTCTAGTTATTTTTCTCTTTCTTTCCTCAGGAGCCTTCCTTACTTTATAGCTTTTGTCCTCTGCTTCCACCATCAAAACTGCTTCTTCAGAGAAATCAGATATAGCTTATTCCCACTTATAAAAAGTAAACATAACATTTAAAATGTTACCTCTAGGAGGAAATCGTTTGGAAGTCTAAGCTAAAAGATGTAATCCTTGATGGAAATTATCAGGCATCAGCAGGCAGAGATGTGTGTGGAGAGGAAATGGAATTCCAATTCCATTCAAGCTCCCTTGAACTTAGGCTATGTAACTTCTTATTTTGTCTTCCTGATCCTTTTCACCATCAGAACCCTGCCATTGTCTCCCTGAATCACTAGATCTCTGATAAAAATACCTTGTATAGGGGCAAGGATCTTTCAGTAAGGATCACTAAATGTTGATAATAATATAGGGAGTCCTTGGGTTATTACGTTCAACTTAGTACAATTGGTAGTTATGAACCTACCCCATAAAAGTCTGTTACATTAAAAATTCAAGGTACATACAGCTGTTCATAATAACAAACAGGTGCTACTTCGCAGCATGCATCAAAATAGTGTTACTGTGTTAAAGATCTTTTAGTGTATCTGGAAAAATCCAAAAAAACAAACTTACTGCTGTCGAGTTGGATCTGACACATAGCGACCCCTCCTTGGGTTTCTGAGGCAGTGTCACTATGGAAATAGATTGCCCAGTCTTCCTTCCAAAAGGTTTGAACCACCAGCCTTCTGGTTAGCAGTCAAGTGCCTTAGGTACTACACCATCAGAGTGTATCTGGAAGTGTTTTTTAAATGTTTTTTGTGCATAGAAAGGTATATGCCCACTCCTCACTTAACATAGTTAGGTTCCAAAGACCAGGTCGTTATGGAAAAATTGGCATTATGTGAAAATAGAGGATGACCACATCAGATCACAAAATGGAGGACAGCTGTATCGTTACATAATTGCTACTACCACTGAGAATCGTGAACTAGCCAAGGTTACATAACCTTAACCATCAGCCAGTGTTACTCTCACATTGTGCCTTGGCATTCATTACTGCCAGATCTATGTCATCAATGCACAAAATAGATAGTAAATTTTTTACTATTTTTGTAAATGTGAAATGTCAGATAATGAGGTAGTTGGTGAGTGAGGAGTAAGTGCATACTAAGATGAACATTTGACTAACTGATGTTAGATACAAACTGTACATAACTGTTCCGACTTACATCTGAATTAGACTTAAAACAGATTTAGGAATAGTACTCACTTGTAATCCAGGACTGCTTATAATACAAATCAGTTTTTTAATCCAACTGGCCTACTGGAGCTGATTGTTTCCATCTTTTGCCTAGAGAATTGTCAATCTTAAAGAAGGAGAATGGAGAACTAAAGAAGTGTCTAGCTTTTCTAAAGGTGAATGAAAATAGATTTTCCTTTACTATTATTTTCTCAACTCCTTTTCCCATCTTCCTGGCTAACTGGGTGTACAATACCTGTCCTTTCTAATTGGTTGATGCCTGTGTCCTACCAACTGTGTTAAGTGTTTCTCAACCCTTTTCACATTGTGGCTCATATAGAAACTGATACCGTTTGAACAAGCACACTGTGGTAAATGGAGAGGTCACAGCAGACTTTGGAGGACTGATAGGGTCAATATCTTAGTGTCCTTGTAAGCCATTCTTGAACATCAGTGAACCGTGACATACCAGTTGGGAAGCCATCTTATAGAAGAGACCTCTGTTGCAACTTAAAATTTCTTTTCAAGAACCCCAAGATAGCTCAGGACCTTTCCTCTCCCTTGCACTGTATTTCCTAGTCATTTTTCTAAGAATGTTCTATGTATTTGTATAATTTCCCTATTGATCTCATTCCTGTAACTAACTGTTCTAGTAATTGGTAATCCTGTCCTCTTCATTTCTCCTCAGCTCCCCCCAGAGACTATGTATTCCCTCACATATATCAGTTTACAGGGAATCCCAATGTGTTTTTATGAAGACTAAGTAAAATTTCATTCCCCAAAGCTAATAATCTCCTAAGGCAACACTGCTGCTATTTTTGCTCTTATTGGGAATCTTAGTAACCACACAAGGGAGCACTGCAGATTAAGTTATCTACTGAGTAAGGCTCTGAGACCCAGTGATTAGGACCCTTAATCTGCAGCTTCCTTCATTCCCATTCTCTCACCTACAGGAATCTCCAAGTCGGTACCAAGGAAGCAGGTCAGTTTTATCAGCTCCCATTCTAACAAAATTTCCGTTGTTCTTGACTCCTGGTTGTAACTCTTGTGTGGGCTCTGTGATGGGGAAAACTAATAAATTTATCTGTCATTTCTCTGAGAAAGAGTTACTCATTAAGAAGTGCTTAAGGGAAATCTTGAATGTAATGCTCACTATTATGAAATCTTATTCATCCTTCAAAATTCAACTTGCATGTCAGTCCTTCTGTGAAGACTTCTTTATGTAAAGGTATGAAGTCCCAGGGTGATGCAAATGGTTAAGTGCTCAGCTACTAACTGAAAGGTTGACAGTTCAAACCGACCCAGAAGTGGCTTGGAAGAAAGGCCCAGTGATCTGCTTCCAAAGATCACAGCCTTGAAAACCCTATGAAGTTCCCACTCTGCACCCATGGGGTCACTGTGAGTCAGAATCAACTCAACAGCAACTGGTTTTGGTTTAGGTGTTCCATTCATTCGTTCAATAAATATTCGTTAAGTTCCTGCTGTTTATCAGGTACCATATTAAGTGTTGGATGTACATTGCCTGTCCTTTCTAATTGGTTGATGCCTCTGCCCTACCAGTTCTTAAATATTTTTAATATCAGCCGCCCTGCATTGGTAAATAAAAAGAGACGTGGTCCTTGCCCTCACAAAATTACAAGAGTGTTATTTCATACTTTTGTACCACTGATACATATATTACCAAAAAAAAAAAAAAAAACCTCACTGCCATTGAGTCAGATCTGACTCATAGCGACCCCTCCTTGGGTTTCTGGGTGGTATCACTATGGAAGTAGATTGCCCGACCTTCCTTATGAGGAGTGGCTGGTGGGTTTGAATTGTCAGCCTTCTGATTAGCAGTCAGATGGCTTAGGCACTACACCACCAGAACTCCCGATACATATATTATATATTATAACACTTAAATACTGCTTTGATTACTTTTTTTTTTTTTAGTCTCCTGTTCTGGCCTGTGAGATGCTCTCAAAGAACCTTATTCTAGTTACCTTTGTAACCTCGAGGATTCAGGACACAGTGGGCACTAAATAACTGATAAGAGAATAGAGGGGGTGAGGGCTGGTGGGTATATGAAACAGGTGGATAAACAGATATATGTAAGTTTGAAAATAATTGATAAGACACCAAGGGAATGGGTCTCGTATGGAAACTTTGTCTCCATATTTTGGGGTGATACGTGAAAGTAAGCAATTTGCATTTAGATAAGGAAGCTTTTATTTCTGTAAACAATGATTTGATTTATCCTGTGAGGTGGTACTTAACTCTGCTTAGCAAGATAAGAGCTGCCTCTGTCTTTTTTTATTTTTTCTTGAAGATCAACCACACCTCGACCAGTGGGCATCACCTCCCCATCACAGTCAGGTAGGGAACAATTTTTCCCCCTAAATGTCTGTGTGAGGTGAATAAATATCCTTTTTCCATGTGGAATATGATTTCTTCTCAGAGACCATAATGTGATTTTCCTAATCCTTTGTATGATATGAAAACATTATACAGCCAGATACTCACTTGCAAAGGCAGGCCCAGAGATTAACCAGGCAAGGCAGGGTGTACCATTGATGGCAACTCTTCATTCTGCAGTTTATTCTCTTTCAGTTACTCCACGACTCAGTTCTCAGCATAGCAGCAAAGTGGTCAGGTGAGTAATAAGCCTGTACAACAATATTAACACTGTTGGCAAAGTTGGGAAATGAAAGAAATACCTAGATATGGCTGAGACTGAAACTGAAGGGACTTTGCGTCCATGTAAAAGTTTAACGTTTGCTTTTTGTTTGTTTGTTTTTATTTTTTTCACCTTAATACAGTCAGTCCTCCTCAGTGGAATCTATCCCTTATAGAGTGGCTGGCTTTGGTAGCTTGGGACAAGTAAGTAAGATTCACCTTATCTTTCCAGATTGAGGTTTCTAATCCAAAAGGAAAGCAGAGGTTTGGGAATCTTAAACTTATATTGGTTTGGGCATAAATTATCTGATGCTGTTGCTTGGACCCTATTTTATTTTCACAATGGAGACCTGACATTGGAAGCTGACACGGAGACTGCATACAAGGGTAAAAGCAATGGGAATATTCAAGGACTGTGTTAATCTACCATGTTTGTTTTGGAAATAGTAAAGTGTAGACTGGCATGTTCTTTGATTGAGAGAACAACATATGCTTAAATGTGTAGATCTAGAGAAAAAGTATGGAGTATGGGAAGCCAGGGAGTTGGGATATATTTATTAATTGATGTTTATTATTTGTCCAACAGGGAGTCAGAGGCCTTCAGGGAAGGAGCACTCCCAGAGACTCTTATACTGGTGAGAGAAAAAAAGGTGTCAGAAACCAACATAATCTGTACAGATACCAGCAGATTTTAAACACATTCTGTTTTTCTGTGCATAATATAATGCTGTTTCATTTTGTTCTTTCCAGTAAGTAGTACCTAGGTATCCAGGCATATGTTATACTTTTTAAAATAATGATATTTCTGTTCTCAAACTGATAAGTGAAAAATGAAAAGTGAAACACTTAGGAAGTCATTAAAATCCTCTGGTCAGGAAAGGGAGGATAACTTTTATTTAAAATAATTGACTTGAATTTTAAACAGTGCCACAAGATGGCAGTAGAAGTTAGGGTCTAAAAGGAAGGTTAACTAGATGTCAGTTGTGTTATAACAGAAGGATATTCTGACTTCTTCAATATGTATTAAGCATAAAAGTACGCCAGTGAAAAAATACTTTAGATCCATTTAATTTCTTGTCTCTTTCTCCTTGGAACTATTGCTGTTAACTATTATTTTCAAGGGGCATTAGCCAGTGCCAAGAGAATACTTAGGCGTTTTTTTCTTTTATCACAAGAAGCAAACTTGAAATTCCCAAATCTTTCTGGGTTACCCCTTTTTTTAAATTCACCAAATAGTCTCTAATTCCTCCATATTCACCTCTTTGAAAAATGTAGATAATCTAGACAGTTTATTTCCGTAAGTTTCGTAGTAATGTCCCCTTTTTCATTCCTGATTTTAGTAATTTGAGTCTTAGCTCGTTTTTTCATTATTGGTCTAATAAAAGATTTGTTAATCTTTTTGATCATTACAAAAAACTAACTTTTCGTTTTGATTTTCTCTATTGTTTCTGTCTTTTCTATTACATTTATTTCTGCTCTAATCTGTATTATTTCCTTCTTTCTGCTAAGTTCTGGGTTTAGTTTACTCTTCTTTTTCTAGCTTCTTACGGTGAAAGACTAGGTTATAGATTTGAGATTTTCTTTTTTAATATATATGTTTCAGCTATACATTTTGCTGTTAAAACTTTCACTGTATCCCATAAGTTTTGGTATACTGTGTTCTTGTTTTCATGTGTCCCAAAGTGTTTTCCAATGCCCCTTATGATTTCTTCTTTGACCCACTGGCAATTTATAGTGTGTTGTTTACTTTCTACATGTATATGAATTTCCCAATTTTCTTCTGTTATTGATTCAAATTTCGTTCCATTGTGGCTAGAAAACATACTTTGTATGATTTCAGTCTGTTTAAATGTATGGCCTAACGTATATGATCTATCCTGGAGAATGAATGTTTCATGTATATACACTTCAGAAGAACATGTATTCTGTTATTACTGGGTAGTATATTCAATAGATGTCTGTAAGGTCTAGTTGGTATTTAGTGTTATTCAGATTTACTAATCTTCTGCATAGTCTGTCCATTGTTGAAAGTAAAGTATCAAAGTCTCCTATTGTTATTGTTTAATTGCCCTCCATTTCTCCATTTTTGTCAGTTTTTGCTTCATGTATTTGGGGGCTCTGTTGTTTAGGCTTATATTTCCCTTTTTTTTTTTTTTTTGCTTTACATACATCATCTCATTTATTTATTTTTGAACATTTTATTGTGGTTTGTATGGAAGTTTAGAGAACACATTAGTTTTACATTCCATCAATTATACACATTTTGTTTCATGACATTAGTTGCAGTCTCCTCAGTGTAACAGCACTCTGTTCTTCCTCTTTGGGTTCCCTATTTCCATTTGTCATTCTTTCCTGTCTCTTCCTGCTTTCTGAACTTTGTTTTTGGGCAAATGATAAATGATGCCCTTTTGGTCTTGTATGATTGATTGATCTGAGGGTGTTATAGTTTACTTTGTAGGCCTATTTGTTGTTTGACAGAAAGGTGCTCCCCAGGGGTAGATTGACTTCCAGGTTTGAAGTGTATCTAAGGGCTATAGTCTCAGGGTTTCCATGTTAATACCGTCTTGATGGATTGACCCTTTTAACATTAGGTAACGTCCTTCTTTGTCTCTAGTAACAATTTTTGTCTTAACATCTATTTTGTCTGATATTGCTAAAAGGGCAAGGAGGCCACATCTTCTGACCTCCTCTAGCCCCACAAGAGGAAGACAGAATGACCATCAGTAACCCAAAGCCTATTCCTGCAAGGCCAGACATGTTGCCTCCCTCCAGCCTTTTCACCAACCGTTCCTCCCAAAGCACCCACCACCTCTCTCCTAGGTTCGATAATTCACTGCAGTGGGTCCACACAGAACTCACAGATTATGGGGTGTATTAGGGAAGCACCAGGCTACAATTCAAGTTCAGGAACAACGTTCAGCCTCTCTCCCAGCCCACAGTCTCTCACCCAACAGTCTCTCTCAGTCTCTTTCCCAGCAATGCGTGTTTCTTGGTGTCTCTTTCTCAGCAGTGCTTGTCTCTCAGTGTCTCTTTCTCAGCAGTGCATGTCTCTTTCTCAGCAACACGTCTTCCTCAGCCAGAGAGAGAGTTCTGCCTCTAAGAGGCCTCCTTTTGAGCCTGGCAGAGTGGAAAAACCAATGAATTATAACATCAGAATTCTAAGCACCTGAGAGAGAGTGGGAACCTCCCAGAACATTGCTTTGTGTTGTGCTCAACAGAAATACCCAGGGTTGATAACATTTACAATCAGAAGCTCCTCAGTTGCTCACAGCAAATTCCACCACAGAGTTTACAAACACTTATGGCTAGAAAAGCCATACCAGGTAATTCGCTATACCACAGATAATAAGTAACCACCATCTCTCTTTCGTTTACTGTTTGCAGGGAATTTCTTTTTCTGTCTTTTTACTTTCAATCTATTTGTCTTTGAATCTAAAGGGAGTTTCTTGTCAGATAATGCTTTTTATTCTTTCCACCTATTTCTGCTTTTTAAACGGTGAGTTTAGTACATTTATATTTAATGTAATTACTGATAAGGAAGGAGCCTGCCATTTTGTTATTTGTTTTCTGTATCCCTTATATCTTTTTTGTTCCTCGGTTTCTCCATTATTGCTTTCTTTTGTGTTAGATTTTTCCTAGTGTACCATTTTAGTTCCCTTGTGATTTCTTTTACTATACTTTTTAAAGATTCTTTTAGTGGTTCCTTGGGGATTACAATTAATATCTTAATTTTATAACATCTAGTTCAGATTGTGGGAGCTCTGGTGGCATAGTGCCTAAAGCATTTGACTGCTAACCAGAAGGTTGGCAGTTCACACCCACCAGCCACTCCTTGGAAGGAAAGTTAGGCAATCTACTTCCATAGTGATACTATCTCAGAAACCCAAGGAGCGGTTGCTATGAGTCGGATCCAGCTCAACGGCAGTGAGTTTGATTTTCTTGGTAGTTCAGATTGTTGTTGTTGTTAGGTGCCAAAGAGTCAGCTCTGGCTCATAGTGACCCTGTGTACAACAGAATGAAACACTGTCCAATCCTGTGCCAGCCTCACAATCCTTACTACACCTGAGCCCATCATTGTAGCCACTATGTCAGTCCATCTCATTGAGGCCTTTCCCCTTTTTCACTGACCCTCCACTTTACCAGGCATGATATCTTTCTCCAGGGAATTGTCCTTTCTGACAGCATGACCAAAGTAGGTGAGACAAGTCTGGCTATTCTCGCTTCCAAGAAGCATTCTGGCTGCACTTCTTCCACAACAGATATGTTATTTCTTCTGGCAGTCCATGGTACTTTCAGTATTTTTCACCAACACCACAACTCAAAAGCATCAATTCTTCTTTGGTCTTCATTATTCATTGTCCAGCTTTCACATGCATATATGTTGTTGTTGTTATGTGCCATTGAATTGTCTCCAACTCATCGCTACCTCTCCTTGAGTTTCTGAGGTGGTATCTCTCTGGAAGTAGATTGCCCAATCTTTCCGAGGAGTGGCTGGTGAGTTTGAACCACCAACCTTCTGCTTAGCAGTCAAGTGCCTTAGGCACTATGCCACCACAGCTCCCTTCACGTGCATATTTGTTGTTGTTGTTGTTGTTGTTATGTGCTGTCGAGTCATACCTGACTCATAGCGACCCCTCCTTGGGTTTCCGAGGCAGTATCACTACGGAAGTAGGATTGCCCAACCTTCCTTCCGAGGAGTGGCTGGTGGGTTTGAACCGCCAGTCATCTGGTTAGCAGGCAAGTGTCTTAGCCACTATGCTACCAGAGCCCCCTCACATGCATATAGGCGATTAAAAATACCATGGCTTGGGTTAGGCACACCTTAAGCTTCAAAGAGATATCTTGCTTTCAGCACTTTAAACAGGTCTTCTGCAGCAGATTTGCTCAGTGCAATATGTCATCTGATGTCTTGACTGCTGCTTCCATTGGTGTCGATTATGGAATCAAGTAATACAAAATCTTTGACAACTTCAATCTTCTCATTTATCATGATGCTGCTTATTGGTCCTATTGTGAGTATTTTCATTTTCTTTATGTTGAGATGTAATCCATACTGCATATTGTAGTCTTTAATCTTCACCAGTAAGTGCTTCAAGTCATCCTCACTTTCAGGAAGCAAAGTTGTGTAGTCTGCATATCACAGGTTGTTAATGAGTCTTCCTCCAATCCTGATGCTACGCTCTTCTTCATACAGTCCAGCTTCTCGGATTATTTGCTCAGCATACAGATTGAATAAGTATGGTGAAAGGATACAACCCTGATGCACTCCCTTCCTGATTTTAAACCATGCAGTATCCCCTTGCTCTGTTCAAGCAGCCTCCTGGTCTATGTATAGGTTCCTCATGAACACAATTAAGTGTTATGGAATTCCTGTTCTTCTCAATGTTAGCCATCATTTGTTATGATCCACACAATCGAATGCCTTTGCATAGTCTATAAAACACAAGTAAACATCTTTCTGGTATTCTTTGCTTTCAGCCAAGATCCATCTGACATCAGCACTGATATCCCTTGTTCACATCCTCTTCTGAATCCAGCTTGTATTTCTGAATAATACCACCTTAATTTCAGTAGTATACAAAAACTTTGTGCCTATGTAGCTGCTTTCTTTCTCCCCTTTTGTCTGTTATTGTCA